GAGACAAGTATACTGACTCAATTTATGTACAATTGTAGGTTCCCTCTATGCATACGTATGTATGTAATTACTCTGAGGTATAGATATTTATTTATTTCATTATCATCATCATTCATATCAGCCCTTCACACGTCCATTGCTGAACATAGGCCTCCCCCAAGGTACGCCACAAAGCACGGTACTGAGCCACCTGCATCCATCGACTTCCTGCATGTCTTACCAGGTCGTCACTCCATCTAGTGGGGGGTCGCCCTACACTTCGTCTACCGGTACGAGGCCGCCACTCGAGAACCTTTTTTCCCCAACGTTTGTCGGTTTTTCGAGCTATATGGCCATTTGCCACTTCAGCTTACTAATCCGTTGGGCTATGTCGGTCACTCTGGTTCTAGCGCGGATATACTCATTTCTAAGTTTATCACGCAGAGAAACTTCGAGCATAGCATATCCATTTATTTATTTTTATTTTATTAATAAGGCACACAAACAGATTGAAGACAAAGTAACAAATATATTGTAACTAGTCTATAATCCAATAAAGTGTGCACAGCAAAACTAAATATGACAACAGGTATGACAGAAAAATAAACTAATAATACATAGTATTAGTGACATTTAAAAAAAAGAACTTATTTAATTGTTTCGGACGGCAGGGACAAGTCCAGTGCCCGCAGTCGCCCTGGGACAATCTCCCACTTTATGACGTACGTTCCTTGCCTAGTGCTGGTGACGCACGTCCCACGCACTCCTGAATGCGTATGTATGATACGACCCTACTAGGACCCCGAGAGAGAGAGAGAGAGATAGACGATCAGCCGGGAGGAGGCAATTAAAACACTTTTCTTCTAGGTAGCTTCTTGTTCCTTAGGTTTCGGCTTCCTTTTTCCTTATTGTTGTAGCCTCTTCGACGACTGTGCTGCGACTGCGATTTGAGCGTTGATTGTCGATTGTCGTCTGCTATGGGACTAGTTTTATTCATCCCATGCAGGTTTCGGGCCTCGGGGAAACCCCCATTACCCGGGTGATCCTCACGGTTCATGACAATGAGCCGGTCTTGGGAGCCGTACCAGTACGGCATCATTGGCTATCTTGGTTGGCGTATTGCGCGCCACCAGGTCGGTGCTACCGGAGGGTCAGCCGTCTCGAAGCCCCGCGGAGTCCCGAGGGTAGGAGTCGATGCAGGGCCAATCTTGCCGACAGGAGGGTGTTCCAGCTGCTCCGGACCTCCAGTGCTCCTTCCTGGCTCCAGTTGAAGGCCTGGTATTCCTAGGCAAAAAGTTGGCGTGTCTCGCGCCTTCTGGGAAGGGAATCTGCCGAAGGGTCAGCAACCTCAAGGTCCGGCGGAGAGCACCTCGACGCGGAGCCGAAGTCACCAACAGGCGCGCGCACTTGGGCGCGCCAGGCCTTCGGAGTTCGCTTCCCAGCGTGTAGGTGATGCGCAGCGTTGGGTGATCTTCATCCCGGGTGGAGTCAGGGGCGTCCTCAAGGCTCGACGCAAGCCGACCGGCGGACGTGACCGCTCGTTGGCGCGGTCCGGACGAGACTCGCGATTTGAGCCGAAATTTGCTCGGCTTATATACCCGCCGGCGTTACCGTACGGGCGTTAGCGTGGTTTTCCCTATCTCGCGCGTTGTTTTTACTTCGAGCCGAAACCTTAGGAGCCTTTATTTATTGAAAATTTTCAAAAAACCCTTACAAATTATATATTGTTAGATTGCTCTAGTTATGTTCTATAACATAAAATAATAATATAAAACTATTAAGTCCTCTATACAAAACTTATAGAACAAAAACCCTACAAAATTGCTAATTTACTATACATTTTGTCTTATATTTATTAAAACAGATGTCTAATCTACTTATTTCTTTTTGATTACATTATGTTACGTATAAACCTTTAATCTAATTTTAAGCTTTAAATAAAACTTGAAATTTTTTATAAGTATTTACAATACAAATTCTTGCTTAAAAAACTTCCTTACAAAATTATCATTAAAGGCTAACCTTTCAATTTTGTAATTATATTTAAATTATATTCTAATAAGAGTTAATATGCTAATCACACTAATTGAGAAATTATAATAGTCTTAAAATAAAGTTCGTCACTTGGTAAATTATATTTGTCGCAGGCGCTAACTACACAAATTTAAAGAATTGAAATAGTCTTAAAACACAGTTCGTCACTGGTTGATTGACACTACACTAATTAAGGAATTGAAATAATCTTAAAACAAAATTCGTCACTGGTTGATTGTATGCTTGTCGCCGACATTCTCCCCCTCGTGCGTCGCACCATCCTCCTGGCTCGGCGATACTCCCGGCACCAGCAGCACTACTTTCGAACTGGGCCTTCTAAGCACACCTCCGCGCGTCTCGACGTCGACGATCCTTGTTCGCCCATCAGGTCCAGGATACACTTGGGAGATTCTTCCGCGTGGCCAGGTGCACCTTGGTAGGCTGTGGTCGACGATCAGCACGATGTCCGCAACTTGCAGGTCTGTGGTGCTGGTTCTTGCCTTCATCTTCCTTGGCAAGAGAGTGGGTAGATATTCTCGCAGCCAACGTTGCCAGAAGTGATCAGCAAGCCGCTGCGTGGTCTTCTAAGTGGATCTGCCCACGAGTTCGTTGTCGTTGAAGCTGCCGATTCTCGCTGCGCCGCAGGACCGCCCGATGAGGAAGTGGTTCGGTGTTAGTGCTTCTTCTTCAGGGTTCTCGGAGAGGTGTGTGAGAGGTCGAGAATTGACTATGTGCTCGGCCTCTAGGAGGAGAGTGTGGAGTACCTCTCTCGTGGATACCGTTCGTGAAGTGTGGCGTCTAGTGCGGTTTTGACTGATCGCACCAAACGTTCCCATGCGCCACCCATATTTGGCGCAACTGGAGGGATGAATTTCCATTGCACGCCGATCTTCTCTGCTTCTGAGGTGAGGTCTTCTTGCTGCAAGGTGTCGAGTGCTTCTTTTATTTCTTTGTTGGCGCCGACGAAGTTAGTCTCGTTGTCGCTGTAGATTTTCTTAGGCATCCCTCTTCTTGCGGCGAATCGTCGAAGTGCCATGATCATGCTGTCGGTGGAGAGCGAAGGAGTTAGCTCAATGTGCACAGCCCTTGTTGTGAGGCATGTAAATAGAGCCCCCCATCTCTTTTCGTGCCGTCTTGCCACGGTGATTGTCATCGGTCCGAAGTAGTCCACGCCCGTGCACGTAAAAGGATGATATCCGTGCATCAGCCTTTCCGCCGGTAAGTTGCCTATTGGTATTTCTTGAGGTCTTGCTTTTCTCCCTTTTCTCTCCGGGTCTGGTGATGGATGAGATGTTTGTGTTGTTGCTGCGACGTCCGCTGCCCTTTCTTCGCCGGTGGTTTTTTTCTTGAAAGTTCTTGGTGCCGGCCAATGTGCTTCTTCTTTTCTCAGGAAGCTTGGTCCGGTGAACCATCGGTGAGTGCAGTTGAAGTCTTCTGGCACGTCGCGTGTTGCGTCATCTGCAGGATTCTGCGCTGTAGGCACCCATCTCCAGTCTTGCGGTTTGGTGAGGTCCTCTATCTCTGCTAAGCGATGAGCTACGAACGTCTTGAAGGTTCTCGGGTCTGTTTTTATCCAGGAAAGTACGATGCTGGAGTCTGTCCAAAATGTTTTCTTTGTTACTTTTAGGTCCAATTCTTCTTCAGCTGAATAAGCCAGTCTGCTTCCTAGGAAGGGCTGCCTGTAGTTCGAGTCTCGGGATGGACACTGGCTTCAATGGAGTGACTCTCGCCTTTGCTGCCAGTAAGCTGACGTGGTAGGTTCCATCTTGCCCTTCTGTCCTCCAATAAACTGCCGCTGCATACGCCAGCTCGTTCGCATCAACGAAAGTGTGTAGCTCCCCCTCGGTGCAATGTGGCGCCAGGCATCTCGGAACTTGCAGGTCTTGGAGCAGCTCCATCTTCTCCAGGTAGGTTTTCCATGCTTCGTACTCCCCTTCTTTTATTTCGTCATCCCAACCGACGCCACTTCGCCATATGTTCTGAAGCAGCTTCTTGCCGTGGATGAGAACTGGTGATGCTAAACCAAGCAGATTAAAGGTCGACATTACTGCGCTGGTAACTTCCCTCTTCGTAGGCACCTTGAGTCCTCTTGCTATTTCTTCTGGTGTATTTCGGAGGTTTGCCCTGAAGTCGATGGAGTCCTTTCTGGTGAACCAGCGGCAGACCTAATGTCTTCTCTTCCTTCTCGCCTAGGTCCACTTCTGTCTTATCGATGGAGTCGATCTTCACGTCTTGCAGCAGTTCGGGTTGATTTGACGCCCATCCCCTGAGTTCGAAGCCTGCCTTCTTGTGTATGAAGTCCACCTGCGTCGTCACTTTTCTAAAGTCTTCTTCTGAGTGGAAGAAGCTCGACCGCCCTTGCTGCCTCTGGATACTGCTCTTTGTAGTCCACTGCGTTTCGATTCTTCACATAGATTGCGGTGCTCGGAGATGATGTTGCGCCGAAGATAACCGATGTCATCCTGTACTCTTTTGGAGGCACGTCGCGACGAGCCCCGCCCCACAAAAACCTCAGGCTATCTCTGTCTTCTGGTCGAATGCGAACTTGAAGAAACATTTCTCTGATTTCGGCTGCCACAGCTAGCGGGCCCTGTCGAAACCTTAGTAGTATCCCGAAGAGCGATTGTAGTAGATCTGGTCCTGGCAGTAGAGCATCGTTAGGCTTCTTCCCTTTGACTTGGCTGCAGCGTCGAAGACGATCCTTATCTTTTTCTTCAGTGGATGTACTACGGAGAAGTGAGGGAGGTACCATTTCTTCTTGGAATCCTTTTGTGTCATAGGTGCTTCTTCTGCATACTTGCTGTCGATAAGATGCTGGATCTGCTTGATATATTCTGCCTTCAGCTGAGGGTCCTTATCCATCTTCTTTTCAGTATTGAACAACCGGTTCTTTGCAGACGTGTAGCTCTCAGGCATCTGTTCATCTTCATTTTTCCATAAGAGTCCAGCTTCGAATCGTCCATCTTCAAGTCTTCTGCAGGTCTTCTCTAGGATGGCGAGTGCTCTTCCTTCTTCTGCCACCTTTCATCCATGAGGGCCAATATTCTTTTGGATCCTTTTGACCCGAAGACTTCTACTGGAACTATCTTCAGGTATGCCCTTGCGTTGTTGACTGCATTCACTAATGTCATGACGCTTGCTACTTCTTCTTGTGTTTCCGCCTTCTTCTCTCCCGAGATCCTATTTTCTGATTCGACGTGAAGCAAATGATGATGCCACCTCTTGCATTCCTTACATGGTGGTTTCTTGCAGCTCTCCTTTCGATGTTTTCCTTGGAGACATTTGAAGCAAACGTGACTTTTTTTTACTGTTGCCCATCGATCTTGTACTGACGTCTTCTGGAACTTCTGGCAGTCGACGAGGAAGTGTCTACCTTGGCACATAGGACAAGTCTTTTCTGTTGACTGTCTTGTATCTTTTTCTTTAAAGTCCTTTTCCCTCGTAGAATGCGTCGCTTGTCGATGAGTTCTTCTGAACCCGCTCTTCTCTTCTGAGGTCGCGAAGGCTCCACATTCGTCTGCTTCGCTGTTCAGGAACTTGGAGACCATCGTCAGGTCGGAGAACTCGCCCTCTTCTGTTGCTGCCGTAAAGTCATACCATCGGAACTTCAGGATTGTAGGCATTTTTTCTATAATTTGCTTTACCATTTCAGGTGAATGCAGGTACTGTGGTTTCTTCAAACCCCTTATTGCTGCTACGCTGTTGTTGATTTGGCTCGCAAAGACGCATATATTCCCTTGGATTTTCCGAAATCTTCTGTAATGCCCTGACTTTATCCAATTCAGCCAGCACCAATGCATCAGGTCTTCCATATCGTCTCTTGAGGGCCTGCATTACTTCCAGTGGAGAGGCTTCGGAGTACAGCAGGCTCTTGATGGCTTCTCTTGCGTTGCCCTATAGTGCTCTTCTTAGTCGAGCCATGTTTTGAACTGCGTTGAACATCGGGGCGGTATCTTCGTAGACCACCTTGAAGGCCAACCACTCGCTGTTGTTGCCATCGAAGTAGGGTAGCTCGTGGATATACTTCGGCTGAGCTACTGGTCCTCCTCGTGTGGTAAGGGCTTCCTTCAATGCTATCGTCAGCGCTTGAATTTCGCTCGTATCTTTTTTCGTTGAGGAGTTCTCTTCAGGCTTCACATTTGGCTCTTCTGGAGGGTGCTGACCTCGTTGCTCGTGTTTTCCCATGTTGTTTTCTTCCATTACTGATGTCTCGATCCAGTTCTGCACCTGTTCTGTTCTGTCTTCCTGGTCTTCATCCACGGAGTCCTCATCTTCACATTGTGCCAGCTCTAGTCTGATGCGTGCTAGCTTCGCCGCAGCTTGAGCTTGCTTTAGCACCATGCGGGCTAATTCTTCTCTGGCTTCCAGCTCCCGTCTCCTGGCTGAGGAGCTCGTGGTCTTCGTAGACCTGGCGCGACGACTGACCCTCTTTGGCTTAAGAGTTTTGGCAGAGCCATGAATGCCCTTGTCTGGAATATCCTCTGGTGTCTTCTTGGTCGTCTCCTTCTGTGTGGTTTCATCCTTGGATGCCGCCGTGGTGGCAGTTGTGGCAGTTGCAACTGTGGTCTCTGTCGTTGTGGTATCCTCTGTGGTCGTAGTGCCTGAAGAATCTGACGTAGTTGCTGTTCCTGATGATGCTGACGCAGACGTGACCCTTTCTGATCCTGACATTTCACCTGTCGCGTCCTTATCTGAGGGACGGGACCTGGGACGTGAGGGGGCATCCTTCTGTGACCTGGTAACCGGCATCTTGAACGGATTCTTCTATATACTTCTAGCAGGGATCCGGATTTCGAAGGACCAACTGTTTCGGACGGCAGGGACACGTCCAGTGCCCGCAGTCGCCCTGGGACAATCTCCCACTTTATGACGTACGTTCCTTGCCTAGTGCTGGTGACGCACGTCCCACGCACCCCTGAATGCGTATGTACGATACGACCCTACTAGGACCCCGAGAGAGAGAGAGATAGACGATCTGCCGGGAGGAGGCAATTAAAACACTTTTCTTCTAGGTAGCTTCTTGTTCCTTAGGTTTCGGCTTCCTTTTTCCTTATTGTTGAAGCCTCTTCGACGGCTGTTCTGCGACTGCGATTTGAGCTCTATTATCTAGATGTTAGTGCTGTTAGTATATGTATATATAATGACTCTTACAGCTTCATCTTGTCTCAGGGCTCGCGGCCTGCAAAGCCGCGAGCTAATTAAAAAGGGAAAGGCAATGAGGTGAAAATGATGATGAGATGGTTTATGATTTGATATTGTTACCAATCATCATGTCGCCTTTTAGGCGTTTTTCTTTGAGCTATCTAACCGCAGTCCGAGGGGGGGGTGTGCGGACCCCCGTCCCTGACTGCTCAGCTCGTGTCGGTTGGTGGTCTGGGCGGTGAGAACCGTCCAGGAACGCGGGTGTACGGCGTGTACGCGGTGTGAGCTGGAACGCGTCGTGCCCGTCTGCAGGTGCGACGCGTCCCATTCGTTGTTCCATTTGTGTTTGTCCCATTTAGTGTGGGTGTAGTGTCGTTGTGTGATGTGCCTGCGACGCTTGGGTCGCCTTAATCGAGAGGTAGAGGTGGTTCTATTAAAACATTTCGCGGGCTACGGAGATAGGGCGCGACGTTTGTTATCGGAACGTAGTTAGCTGCGTTTGTCACTAGCGGGTTAGGGTGGGTTTCTACTCTATCAAAGTAGCATTGGGACATCTCCTTAAAATATTCGGAGATAGATGGTAGTTCACAATCTTTGTGTAAATCAAAGTTCCGTTGATACCACCGTGCACCGGTGGCTTTTTGGATGAAAAAGTTTTGTACTCTTTGGAGTTTTAAAATATGGGTCTTATATGTGTGGGCGAAAGCTACACTTGCATAGTACATAACTGGTCTAATACAGGTTTTGTACAGCCGGAGTTTGTGTCGTAGCGACAACTTACTCTTGCTGTTAACGAGAGGGTGTAGACGGCCTATTATTGACTTGGCTCTGTTGCGTACTACACTTATGTGCGTCTTGAAACTCATGCGGTGTCGAAAGTGACGCCTAGATATTTGGCCGATTTTCCCAAGGGATTGGGCGGTCGTATAAAGAGATTGTTTTGGGTTTAGTACCTCCTGTAGAATTCCGTTGAAAGTATACTGCTACACTTTTTTCGGGATTCACGTCAATTCTCCATAGGCGGAACCATTCACCAAGGCGATTTGTCGCTTTTTGGAGCTTTATAGCGAGTTTATTTTTGTTGGGGTCTGACACAAAGAGTGCCGTATCGTCGGCAAAGAGAGCGGTGTTCACTACGGGGTCTTTTGGGATCACTCGTGAAGAGTGTGAAAAGGAGTGGAGATAGTACGGAACCCTGTGGGACCCCGGCCTTGAGGAAACGTTTCGAAGAACGAGTTCCCTCCACTCGATATCGAAAAGTGCGGTTCGAAAGGAAAGCTCGTATGATGTGCACGAGCCTATCGGGCACGTTTAGTTTGTACAGCTTGTAAATCAAGCCGTCGTGCCAGACCTTGTCAAACGCCTTCGCGACATCGAAGAAGAGGGCTCCCGTGTTTCGAGACTTTTTCCTTAACGGGTTTTGGCTGAAGCCAGACAGAATGTATTCTGTTAGGCGATGAATCTGGTGAGTGCATGAGTGATTGGCTCTAAAGCCGAACTGTTCGTCTGGGAGGAGTCCGTTAGCTTCAGTGAAATGACGGAGACGCTTATGAATAATGCGCTCGTATAGTTTGGCCAATGTGTTGAGCAGGCTAATGGGTCTGTAGCTAGAGGGACGATTACGTGGTTTACCCGGTTTTGGGATCCCTATTACGTCTTTACTCTACTCTCTACTCTCTTTCCAGATGTGCGGGAAGGAGCAGTTCGTAAGAAAGGTGTTAAATATTCCAACAAGGAGGCAAATAAGTGGCGCCGAAAGGGATTTGATCACCTTGTTGCTGATGCCGTCTGGCCCAGGGGCTGATCTATTTTTAAGACTTTTTATGGTTTCGGTGACTTCGTCTACTGTCACATGATCGAGTGGTTCACCCGCTGGTGGCAACGCAGACCTACGTTCTACTTCCGTTTCTACCTCTAATAGGTGAGCGGGATTTATTGGTGCAGTGGATGCCGTGCACTGGTACTCTAGGCTGTCTGCTAGGCATTCGGATTTTTCGAGATCGTCAAGGGCGAGATCAGGGCGGTCCAGCCTCACGAGAGGCGGCATCGGTGCGGATTTGTCGGCTTTAAGAGCTCTCGTTAGTTTCCAGGACGTCATATCAAGGACGTCCGGATGTTGGTTGTTTGAAAAAGGATAACGTGTTGGACTCTCGGGAGCGATAACATCGAAGTTAAGTCTCTCCGTGAGGTCTCTTAGAATTATTCCGTTAGAATTGTTAACGTTAGAATTCCAGCTAACGTGTTTACTATTTAGGTCTCCTGCGATTAATACGCTAGCGCTTAGGTTTAATAGAGCCGATATGTCGGAATCTAATATACTTTTTAAGGGAGACAGGTATGCTGATGCAATTATTAATGGCGGATGGCCCGAGAGTGCTATCCTACAGATCGACGCTTCTAAGTTAGTAAGCGGCGGAGTATCTATCGGTACACATTGCAAGGACTTTTTGTAGTAGATCAAGGTGCCGCCTTTAGGTCCGGTCAGCCTATCATTTCTTACTAAGGTATAATTGGCTATTTTGGGATCGCTCAAACTAGGTTTCAAGAAGGTCTCTTGCACTAGCATGATATCGATATCATGGTTGTGTAAAAAATATATGATCTCTTCCTTTTGATCTCTGACACCGTTTGCATTAAAGTACGCGACAGTCAGAGACCTAGGCTTAGTTCTACCTACAGGTCTTATTTCCATTTTAGTTATAAAAGAAAAGAGTCGCTTAGGCGCACTGGAACGAACCTATCGCTTGGATAAGACTAAGATGCTCAATGGTAGCATTGAGCCTATCTTGAATTGATTTAGCTTCGCGAAGTTTACGGGCTAGGGTTGTGACTTCGGTCACATTAAAGCTGCTGGCGAAGTTGAACACTAACGAAAGGTCAGTGTCGATGTTTGACGGTGCCTGAGGGGCGGGTTTGGGCTTCTAGGCCTGGCGAGGAGGCACTGGCCGTGAGGCGGCCGCGCTGACTATCGCCGGGGGCTTAACCCATGCGTTGGGCTTAGGTGATGAAGGCACCGGAAGGCTTGGGCCTTGCCCGGAAGTCCCTTTAACGGGGGCGGGCTTGGCTGTAGCCTGAGCGGGAGCGGGTTGCGGCACCGAGATTGGTGCGACCGATGGGCAGAATGCCGTGGGCGCGACCTACTGGGGTTGCCCGCACGTCCGCGCCGGATTGCTCCTCCGTTCTGTTTCCTACGCGGCGCTTTGGAACACCCGCGATAGCTCGCTGGGTGTCCCTCTTCGCCGCTCAGAACACAGCTCGAAGGGCCCTCCGTCTCGGGCATTCGGGGGCACTCGGTAGTGCCATGATCGCCTTAAGCACTTGACGCACCTAGGCCGGGCGAAACAATTCCTGGCCGAGTGGCCGTACAATTGGCATCGGTGGCATTGGCCCACGATGGCCCCCTATTACGCGGGGACTCTACAACAATCCCCGTGAGATTGCATATCCTAGTGATGTTGTATATTGCTTTGCCATCTGGAGACAGGTCCAGTATGACAAGACAAAGATCGAGATAGCGTTTCTTATCAGTTGGGTGGTGCATCCTGTGCACTTCTCTGACAGGCAGGTTTTGCGATTTAAGATCGTTTAGTATGAAATCGGTTTCTAGCTCCTTAGGGAGTCCGCGAACTACAACACGGAGGTTACGGTCCTCCGCGAGAGAATAAGTATGGAAGCTCAGATTCTGAGCTTTAAGGTGCGCAGTTAAAGCGCGGAAATCGTCCGTCGTTGCGACGTGGATACGAATGCCCTGTGGTCCATTGTGGACTTTGGGGCAGAATATCTTTTTGGAGTCTATCCACTTGGATAGGTTGCTCCAGCGCGATTTGTCCTGAAGGTATTGGATTGGGGGCGGCGGCTTCTCCTTTCTAGGTACGGCCTGAGTCGGGTTCGCGGTTTTGGTCGCGGTCGTTTTGCGCGCGGAAGGCGCGGCTTTTTTTGCCGGAGTGGCGGTAGGCGACGTAGGGGCCGAGTGAGGCTCTTCTCCCTTTTTCGCGGCGGGGCGCTTGCGCTTTTTACCCGAGACTAGGGTGAAGCCTTCGTCTTCGGGTTTTTCGGGTCGGCGAATCTCTATATCCATTTCGGAGCCTGATTCGGCGTCCGAAAACAACGGTGAGGGACCGCGGGTGGAGAGCGCAGAAGGCGCGGGGGACGCGGCGTCGTAGACTGTGTCGATGGACACTGGGGTCGAGCGGCCGATGCTCGGCGTATTAGGATCGTCGATCCGTACTACGGGGCGTTCAGCAGTAGATACGTTGCGTTGGGCTAGAAATTTAGCCCAGGCGTCGGGGCACACTTGTCCGAAGAAGTCGGCGAGTTCGGCTATAGTAATAGCCGCCATCTTGTCAGTGGTTTAGAACACTTGTGTATCAAGCACCCCACCTTTCGGTGGGGGAGATATGTGCCTAAACGAACACTTATACAACTAGCGCGTTGGTACGCTAGGGTGTGTACCTAGCTGTCGCCTAATGCGACAAGCGAACACAGAAATTTAAAAATAGAATTGCTGCATCTGAGGCAGCGGGTGTGTAATAAACTACTTACAGTTTTTACTGGAAATCCGGAGAACGTGGGTACTACACACAAAAGAACAATAGGCCGGCGGCCCG